GCCTCACTTCCCAAAAGGCATTCTTATCCCAACTGAAGTTTACAGCAGTATTGACCTCACCTGAACTCGGTTACTCAACACCCCGAGCAGGAATCGAACCCGGGTTGTTTAGCATATATTCTCCTCACGTTAGACATTACGCCACACCACCAGAACTGCCCTTGGGTCACATGGGACAGAAGTGGGTTTTAAGAGAGCCTAAGCCTTTCCCATATAACATTTATCTGGTGGGATTGTCGACGCAACAAAGTTGAATTTGTTATAGTAATTAACTATATACTTATTTAGCGTTTAACAAGTAGATTTTCGAGACTTGCAGTTTATCTGACATAAGAACTCTATTCACCATATATTTTATTTAATGCAATAAAGGATTTTTAGTTTAATTTTCTCACAATCGTGTGAGTAGGCCTTATTTTTTCATTGAATTTCACGTAGGAAACACAACTTCGCTTCTTCGACAATCCTACCACAGAACTGGGATGTGGGAAAGGCCTAGGTTTCATTAAAATTTACTTCTCTGTGACCCGGGGGCACTTGTGGAAGTGTGTGCGTGGTGTCAAGAATGTACGCAGAACTACCAGGGTTCGAGTTCCGCTGAAGGCGCTGATGAGATCTAGGGCGAGGTCGAAATAGCAGTCCACTTTAGTCGGGATGATAAAAAATGTTGGGAAGCAAGATTATGCGAACCTTAATGAAAAAATAGGACATATTTAACGATTATGGGGAAATTCAACTTTCAGTCCTTTATCACCTCAAACTAAATATGGTGAATACAGCTCTTATGTTAAATGTACTGGTGGTCTCGAAAAGCTACTTATGAAAGAAGAATTACGTTTGACTATTTTTGGTTTTCTTTTTATGCTTGGATCGCCACCGAAACTGGAAACTACTTCCCGGAAGGCGAGCAAAGCGTAATTTGATGGAACCAATGACTTTAAGGAAAAGTTTTAACCTGAGTTTGGCCATTTCAGCCCAAATATGATCGCTGTCCTTTAGAATTATGGATAATTTTGACGATCCCGGCGACGACACCAAGAGCATCAAAGGAGTTGACCTAGACACCGCAAGGGCTGGTTTCTTGCAATTTACTCCAATCACGAGTAGTGCGGGTCCAAGAGTCTAAGTTCTCTTTTCGAGAGATGCTCTTTAGATCCGAGACAGTCTTCTGAAGACGATAATCTTTCAAATACCCTTATTTATCATATCTTTTTAAAGTTTTATCCGTCTTACTGCCTTTTAGCATTGAAATAAATTGTAAGAGATTCTCATCTTTATACGATATCACTGTATCAATCCCGAACATTTATAAACATTATTTTGATAGGCATAATCAATGACATGCTTTTTTATTCTTTATTTTTCTTATTTGTCTCTCTTCACCAGCAAACAGGGCATTCGGACGCCCCGCATCTCCTTTGCAGCCCTCGAAATGTTTGTGCAATCCCAAGCCTACCTCTTCCTTTGCCTCATTAGGCCCGACAGCGCCTGCTTCCTTGGGCGTCGAGCGCATCGGTGGGCTGGGCCTGGCTGAGCCTACCTCTGTCGGTGAAACTGGCATAGTTACCGTTCCCAATGCCCCCTGCTGCTCTGCTGGACCTATTGTACGACGGTTAGAGGCTTGCGGTGAAAGGTCAGATGGCGAATTTGCCGTTTATGCAACTCGGGAGCTGGCCTGCCCGCAAGATCACCTTTACATGACCGTCAAACCTCACATGGCTTTACATCAGGTCGGTCAAAATTTTAATGTGCGATTACGTTAAATTATTCCAGATGGTTATCACATTTATGTTTAGAAGACTTCTTTGACCAATCTTTGCATACATTTTTGATTAAGAACTCTAGTTTGCTCAGCCTTGATGAGAATATAGTAAATAAGGCTTGGTTGGCTCCATTTTATTAGTAAAGTAAATATTAACTTGAGTTTACTACCTCTATCCGACTTGTTTACGCCTAGAAAAAGCTATTGAAAGAGGAAACTCAATAATATTTCTTTCGCACTAAAATATAATTTTATTTTTCAATTTTACCGCGGGTTAGTGTATGCTATACCATTCGAGGTATTGTATTATATGGATGAATAAGGTATTAAAATTAAGAAAAAAACACTGAATTAGATCTTAACTACTAAGGCGGTTTAAAAACTGTGGCTACTGACTAACAACATA